TCCGGGTTCTCCGGCTGGGTTTTATGGGTTCTCCGGGTTCTCCGGGTTATCCGGGTTCTCCGAGGGTTCTCCGGGGGTTCTCCGGGGGTTCTCCGGGTTCTCCGGATTCTCCGGGTTCTCCGGGTTCTCCAGGTTCTCCGGCCGGGTTCTCTGGGTTCTCCGGGTTCTCCGGGTTCTCCGCTTTGATCGTCGGGTGGGTGTAAGTGCGGTAAGAGCGTTGTATATCCGATGAAATCGTTTCAACGAAGATGTATGTAGGTTCATGCTAGTTGACCTCACATATTCAACATATATAAAATATCGAACTTCGCATTCATCTACTTAACGTTTTGTTAGATAAGTATATTCAACAACATACCATACATACTACTCACAGAACCATCCATCTTATCAACTGAGCTATCGGGTACCACTGCCAAGATATATCGATACATACACCTCAACATACCCAACTTAGTAGCTAAGTCAGCTAAGTCGATGTGGGCTGTCCGATTCGGTTAACCCGAAATTTGCATAACTTTCTATGTTTTGCATGTTTGTTCTTGATATTGCTATGTTTCGGGAAAAAACCACAAAAAACGTTTTAACAACTACAACACAACAGTTTTTCAGGACAGGGCGCCGCAGGTCGACGCGCCGAGCCGCCCTCAGGACGCCTGCGGGGCGCGGAGGGGAAGGGGGGAGAGGGAGAGGGGGGGGGATCAACTATTCTTCAAACTGCCTCCCCTCGGCGGCCATCACCGCCTCCCCTCTCCTCTCCTCGTTGTCGGCGGCCAGCCCGCCCCCGCTCCCTCCTGCCGCCTTCCCTCCCCGAGCCCGCCTTCCTTCTTCGGCGGCATATCCGCCCCTCCCTCCTGCACCTCTCTATCGAAGGGCGGCGCATCCGCCAGCGGCATATCCGCTCTCGCATGCGCTCGTTTTTTCCTTTTTCACGTGATGGCGAGCACATAGCCATCGTCCTGTAGTCGCCGATAAGCCGCCCAGGCTGGCGGGATCAGCTCGGCGGGCATCACGGCGACGTCGCCGCGCGGCCGCCACAGGGACGCGCCTGGGCATGGCGCGCGCACCCATTCCAGGGTCTCCACCAGCAGGTAGCTGGCGGCGCCAGCCTGCGCGCAGCAATGCACGATGTACGCCTCGCCGTCGCCCAGGAGAAAATCCTGAGGGCAGCAACGCCTCGATTTTTGGGGGGGCACACGCATGTGCACCCCTAAATACCAAGGTTGGTTGCGCCGTCTGTCCTGGCTGCCGTACATCTGGCCGTCGATGGACGCCTCTCTGCTGGTCCACGTTTCAGCCCTGCGGAGGGGTTCCTCCTCCTCCTCCTCCTCCTCCTCCTCCTCCTCCTCCTCCTGGCGGCGAGCCGCCTCGGCGGCAAACCGCCTTCCCCTCTCCCAGCCCATCTTCCTCCACAAAGGGCATGCAAGGTTGCGCCCCGAGTGCCCGAACGTACTGTCCAGCTCTGGCGTGCGCCACGCTTTGGCGCGGGAGCGCGGCGCCTCCTTCGCTTCCTCCAGGAAGCAGGCGAGCATCGCCGTCAAGGCCGACCGCTCGAAATTCTCAGGGTTGTCGATCTCCTGCGACCTGGACCGAAGCAGGTTGTGCTTCCGCTCGAGTACGAAGGCGTCCAACCAGATGCCGTCCTCCGCAGGCTGGTCGGGGACGTGCCACAAATAATGATGCTTCGGCTTGATCAGGGCTGGCCCGTGCGCGGCTTTGTGCAGCGCCAAGGAAATCGAAACGGCCTTGGTCCAGACAGCTATCAAATTCGGCACGGCGCCGATCCTCAGGACGTAGCCGAACCGCCTGCCACCTAAGCGCTCGAGGATGCGCGCGGGCCGACGCGGTGCATCCTCGAACGCGCAGGCCAGCGTTTGCGTTTCAGCTGCGGCCGCATGTCCTTTTGCCCTGCATGTACAATTCGAGCATCTTCGCCATCGCCTCGAACGACCGCGCCGCAGCGTTCGCCATGCCGCTGGGACGCAGCTCTGTGTGCACCCAATGACGAATCAAAGGGAACACGGCCAAGCAATCCGACGCCTTGCCCACGAAGTGCGACGCCTTGCAGGTCGCTTTCTTCCGAGCCACGCTGAACAGAAACGCTGGCGGTTTCCTGCCGCGTCTGCCAGTCCGCCACGCCGAGCAGCGATCCCGCCACGTTCCCCACGCGTCGGGGATGACATCCCTCACCGCCTTGAGGAGCGCAAAGATTTCGACCTGCAAGGTCCCGCCGCTGGCCAGCATGGTATGCATGGGGTCCCTCACGTATGTGCTCGGCGGCGCCACCGTCCGCAACGCCTGGCACGCCACCAGAGAACGGTCATCCAGAGTGATGCCCATTGCCGTCTCCTTCGGGGGCCGGAACATCAGAAGGGAAGGAAGGGGGGGACATCAGAAGGGGATCGATGGAAATGTTTTCCTCCCTGGCTCCAGTCTCTCGATGTTCGCTCTGGTTGTCGTGTCCCGCAGCGACGCCAAATCATCATATTGCTGCAAAAACTCGTCTGACGACAGCGGGTCAAAGCGCGACGAGTCAGCGCACCAGAGAGGCACGAGGTAATCATCGTCGTCGTAGTCTGCAAGACATTCCGCCTGATCCAGCACAACGTTCTTGCATTGCAAGCACGGTCTCAGACCTGCAGCGCCCTTGGTGCAGAATGTCTCTTTTCCAGCCGCCTCGTCTGCAATCAAGCGGTGGAACTTGGCGAAAAAGTGCACGCCGCCGATTGGCGCACCGTGCTCCGACAGACTCTCTGGGCCCAGGAACAGCGCGCGAAGCAATGCCCGCGCCACGGCCGAGCCGCCGATGCTCTTCTTCACGACGACGCGCAAGGTGCCGATCGGCAGCCACGCAACCTCCTTCTGCAAGAAGGATCCGAACTCGAGGAAACTCGCATACACCGCGAGCTGATTCCGACGATTATCTATCTTCAAGGCGTTGCCCACGCCAATGTCGTCGTAGTACAGCAAAAGCCTCCACGGCCGATCGCGCGACACAGGGAAACGGCGCATCGCTTCCCAAAACATTGAACTCCAGAGAGGGCAGTCCGACAGGAGCCTCGGCATCAGCCGATGCGGCAGCGCCACGCTCCATCGGAAAGGCGTGCCGATCTTGGGCTGCAGCCGCACTGCGCTGATGAGATCGGCCACGGATGCCGTCTGCGATCGCTGCATGGCCCGAGCGCTCACGTCTATAGCATCGCCCGCGTCGTCGCCATGGCCAAGCGCAGTCACGATTCGCTCGAGCAAAGCCGCGGACACGCCGCGCAGGGCCAGACACTGTTGCAGTCGAGCCCGCTGCTCCACCTGCTTGTCCACCTGCAGGGCGCGTTTCCCCATTGCGCCGACGCCCGCGCGCGGGAGGGGCGGGGGCGGGGGGCAGCGCGAGGCCCAGCGCGGTTGAGAAAAACGAATTGCAGCCAGAGAGACGGAAGTGGAGGCGGGAATGGATCGCGGGGCGGAGTAGCCGCCGAAGGGCATGGCGGTGTAGCCGCCTGAAGGGTCGGGAGGGGCGGCGTAGCCGCCGAAGAGCGTGGGGGCGAGGGGGCATGGGGGGAGGGGGGAGGGGGGAAGGGGGTGGGTGGGGGAGATTGCGGAGGCGCGAAGTGAGCGTAGCAACGGAACTTGCAAGGGAGATTTCTTTTTCTCGCACGCAATTTCGAGCTTGAGTTTCAAGCTCGGGTTCCAAGCCGCCAGCGCTCGGAGACGGGCGCGGCTGGCGGCTCGAGCTCGGGACGGGCGCAGCGCGGGACGGGCGCGGCGGCGGCTGGCGGCTCTTAGTGCGGGTGCGCGTGCTGCCTCCAACTCCTCATCCACCTCCTCCTCCTCTCCTCATCCTGCCTCCTCTTCCTCCTTATCCTCCTCTATCGGCCCAGCCGATCGCCGCTCAGCTCTCCTGGTGCGGCTGGCGGCAGAAGAACCGAATGCCGCCTGGGATGTCCTGCACCATCTGCTTCGACGTCTGGCACAGCATCTTGCCGCGCTCCTCGGTGCGGCGCGCCTCCTCCATCATGCGCCGCGCCTTGTCGATGAGCATCTGGCCCTTGATGCCAACGGCGCGTGCATGGCGGCAACGATTGCGCCACTCGATGAAGCGCACCACGATGGTCGCCCAGCTCCACGCACTGCCACCCGTGATGAGCTCGAAGTCATCGACGTCGTACTTGTCCGCGATGCTCGCCATGGCGGCGCAAGACCGCGAAGGGGCACGACCTCGAGCGGCTCCACTTGAGCCACAAAGACTACGGATGAGGGGTGGGACGGTGGCAGATCATGTCATTGGGAAACGCGAGAGAACGGTGCGAGCGCGGTGGGCAGCAAAGGCGGCATCTCCGCCAAATGAAGGCAAGGCGGCATGTCCGCCAAGGGCTTGCGAGAGTGGAAAGGCGGCATCCCCGCCAAACGAAGGGCTGCGGTGGTAACGAGTGGGGTGGCGATGGCAACGAAGAAATGTTTTTTTCAACAATAATAACAATTGTACGAAATCACACACCTCGTCATGAGCGGCCCAACTGCCGCCCCTGCCAAGGAGCTGCTTCGCCTCTGCTTCGTCTCCGACCGCCAATCGATGGGATTCCCAACGGTGTCGCTGGCCTTCGCGAGCCACAGCTCGCGCGGTAGGGTCTCGGGCAGGACGCGCTCGAGCAGGAGGGAGTTATGCAAGCGCTTCGCCTCGCCAAGTGAGGCATCGGAGCGCGATGAGCAGCAAAGGCGGCATCTCCGCCAAATGAAGGCAAGGCGGCATGTCCGCCAAGGGCTTGCGAGAGTGGAAAGGCGGCATCCCCGCCAAACGAAGGGCTGCGGTGGTAACGAGTGGGGTGGCGGTGGAAATGTTGTTTCACCAACAATAACAATTGTATATACGAAATCACACACCTCGTCAGGAGCGGCCCAACTGCCGCCCCTGCTCACGAGCGGCCCAGCGGCCGCGGCTTATTCGGGTCCTTCTCCACCTTTTTCAGGCCGTACTTCATGATGTACTGGGCCACCATGGGGCGCTCAGGTGCTGTGCTTCTGCGCCTCCTTGAGCATCCCCGCGATGGCCCTCGCCGCCGAGCTCGCATCCTTCTGGATGCTGATGGCCTCGTCCTGCGTGATCGTCAACGCCACGCCGCTGTGCACGCGCTTCTGCGCCACCGCCTTCATGACTGCCACAGACTTCCTCGCCGCCTTCGCGTTCTTCACAGCCCATGACGGCACCTTGTCCGCCTTCTCATGCTCGAGGTACCCGTCCAGCTCTGTCTCGAGCCTCGTTGCGGTGCCGATCCACTTCAGCGCCAGGTTTTTCTCCTGCGTCTCCTTCTTGGCCTGCTCGGCCTTCTCCCTCGCTTCCTGTCGCCTCCGCTCCTTCTCAGCGTCCTTATCCCTGCGGAGCCTTCGGGGTTGTCCGAAAATGACAACACTTCGAGCCGAGCGAAATCAATAACCCGATCCGAACCTGAAGAGTTGAACGGAAACCGAAAACGAATGCGAAGCCCAGGCGACACCCCTGCGTTGAACCCCCAAACGGCCTGCTCTTGCTCCTGTCCTTGCTCTTGCCGCGGCTCTTGCTCCTGCCCTTGCGGCGGCTCTTGCTCCTGTCGCGGTCGCCGCGCGAGCGGCTCCTGCTGCGGTTGGTGTCGCGACGTCTGTCGCGGCGTCTGCTCCTGCTGTCGCGCCTGCCCCTGCTGTCGCGCCTGCTCATGCTGCGCCTCCTCCTCCTGCGGCTGTCAGACCTGCGCCTGCGGCGCCGCCTGGATCTGGACATGTCGCTCTCGTCGCTTCTGTCGCCCTTGTCGCCGCCGTGCTCTGCGACGCCCGTCGAGGCCGCTGCCCGCGGGCCGCTCTGCTTCGCCTGCGTCCTCTTATCGGTGTACAGCTCGTTGCGCACTGCGGCCTCCACTGTCTCGCTCCAGGCCGCCTCCAATTGCGGCCTGTACGTCCACTCCCCGAGATCAGGGTTCCACCTCTTATCCTGCACATTATCTTCAATCTTTTTCGCGTCGAAGCCGTCGTGCGCCCACTTCCTCAGCGGAAGGTACTTGCCACCCTTGCGGACGCGCTCCTCCTCCATCCGTTGGACAGTGATTGAGCTGACCACGAAGGCTTCAATGCGATCGAGGTTCGACAGCCCAGGATCTTCTGCCAGATCCTTGTAGAACTGCTGCTTGAACTCACTCTTCATTTTGGCGAAACACTTTGGCGGCCACTGTCCGAACCTCCGAGAAAGGCGCACCCCGTTCGTGTTGCACGCGTCGCACTGGTAAGTCGACTGGCCCTTCGCCTGATCCTGTAGTTGCACTCCTTTGCCGTGCGACAGCAGCGGTTGCAACGCACGATGCTATGCCCGATGCCATGCACATCCACGAACTCCCCTACCTGGGGAGCGCCTGCTGGCGGATCGTCCTGAGCTGCCTCCTCCTCCTCCGCCTGCGGCGCTGCCGCCTCGGGCGAGCGCTCCTCATTCTCAACCTTGGCTACCGCGCCCTGCGGTGGAGCCTCTTCCTCCTCAAGCTCACGCTTGGCACTCTCAAGCTCATCCTGTTTGACGCCGAGCTCGGAACCAATCTCGTCGCCGCGCTCCTCGGAGCCCGATGCCGCCTCTGACGCTGCGTCGTCCGGCTCTGGTGGCAAAGCCGCTGCGCCCTGAGGAGGCAGTTCTTCGGCGGGAGCTGCGGCTGACGCAGCTTTGCGAGCCGTCCTCAACGCTGCGGGGTGCTTACCTTTGCCCTTGCCTTTGCTTTTCCCGCGTGCCTTCGGCGGCCCTGCGTCGGTCAATGCGAGCGGCGGCACAAGCTGTCCAGTCAGTGTCATCTGCGTCCCCGATAGCTTAGCTTTCCCACGGGGCTTCGCTGCGGGCGCCTTGGTCATCACTCCCTTGTTTTTCGGCCTGGCTGCTCCGAACATCACTGCCAGAGAATGCTGCTGGTGATCTTCAGCGGGCGGCGTCCCCGCCATGGCGGCGTGACCGCCTTGGCACGCGAGAAGCCGCGCGTCGCGCGCGGCCCTGATGCCAAGATGAACTGGACGCGAAGCGATGACGAAGAAAACGCGCGGTAAGTGAGGCGGGATAGCCGCCAGCGGAATAGCCGCTTCAAAGGTGGAGGGAGGGGTGGAGTGAGGTATGAAGGGGGCGGCATATCCGCCAGCGGACTCGCCGCTTGAGAGGGTGCAGGGGCGCGGCGAGGGAGGCGGATTGGCCGCCAGCGGACTAGCCGCTCGAAGCGTGGCGGACGCACGAGGTGATACGGATACTGAAATGAATTGCGCGCAACATGACAACCACACAAAATTGACATCATGTTATCATATGTTATCATATGTTATCAGGCGTGTGATAACACCATGCTAACACATGATAACACCTGATAACATGTTATCAGGTGTTATCAGGTGTTATCAGGTGTTATCAGGCGCGTGATAACATCTGCTAACATATGATAACAGCCAACTTTTTTTTGCCAGTGCATGGCGGCGGCGTAGCGGCACGTCCGCCGAGTTAGTTAAGCGGAGCAGCAGGGGCGGAGCGGCGCCCTGCGCTACCGACCGCGGACGGCGCCGCGTGCTTCAAACCGCTGCCTGAGCGGCAGCGAAAAGACGGGCGAGCGCGGAAGCGAGGCGCGCTGCCTGAGCGGCAGCGAAGAGACGGGCGAGCGCGCGCAATCGGGGCGCGCTGCCTGAGCGTCATCATATGCAAGGCGATGGGGGGGTGGGCGGACATGGCGATGCAGCACATCCAGAAAATAGCCGCACTCATTCTTATGCGGATGCAGTTTTCTCCACCCAGCCCTTTTGCCAAATCCCATCCAACCGCCCACCTGTCTTATCCGCCGAAGTTCCCTCACCTTCCTCCCGCTCCGCTCGTCCACTCGCCCCCATATCGCCTTGCATTGGGGGACGGCTACTCGGCCGCCTGCGTGGCCAAAATTCACCTCGGCGTGGCGGCCTTCACGAATTGAGTGCGGATGGAGTGTGTGGGGGTGTCCTAATTTGTTCTGACACAGGGGTGTGGATTGAAATTGCGTTGGAGGAGTGGGAGGGGGGCGTGTAGGGCCGACGCGTCGCGCCGCCTGCGCGAATGAGGCTACTGATGCTGAGGCGACATCAGTGCTGCCAGCCGTGCACCTGCACCTACGAGGTCGCGTTGCGCACCAGCCAGCTCGCGAGCACGTCCTCGCACTCGGCGATGCATTGCTCCTCTTGGCGGAAAGCGTTCACCGCGCGCTCCGCTATCTGGGCGCACATCTGCGTCGCAGTACGCGCGCGGCGCAACGAGTCGAGCACAGCCTGGCACTGGGTGCCGTTGAGCACCACGATGCTATCGGGCGACATCTGGCTGGCCAACGCCGTGGACATCCTCATGCCCGCCGTGGCTGACGAAGCTGCGCCTGACGATCCGCTGCCCCCCGAGAACGCGTCCTTCAGCTGGTGCGAGCGCTCCACGCGGGATTGTGGAGGGATTGGCGCCAGCTCGACCTTCGGCGCCCCCTTGCGCCTTTTGGCGGAGCCCCAGTTGGCCTTCTCCTCCTCCCATTGGCGCCACTCCGCGAGGTCGTCTTCCCACGAGTCGGCATCGAGTGCGATAGCAGCTACCTCCGCTTCCTCCTCGCTCAAGCTGTGGTACGGCGACACGTGAAGGTGGTTCACCAGCTTGTTCCTGGCCTCCTCCACTGTCTCTCCCTGGAACCACTTGCCGCCCCTTTTGCAGCTGCTGCTCTGTGGGCACTTGAAGCCGAACATGACGGTCTTCTCGCCCTGCTGGCCTGCCATGGCGGCAGGGCGAGAAGTGCACGGCTAGCGCAGGGGCGGCGTGGGGCGCGAGCCTGTGCGCGCCTAGATTCGAGCCGATACAGCGTCCCAACAACAAAAACATACATGTGTAAGAGGCGCGGTGGCATCGCACATTTCGGGATGTCAGCAGGCGGCGGCGGCGGTTTAGCCGCCAATGGAGGGCTCAGGGCGGCGTGGCCGCCAATGGGCGGTTTAGCCGCCAATGGGCGGCGTGGCCGCCAATGGAGGCTTCAGGGCGGTTTAGCCGCCAATGGGTGGCTCAGGGAAGGACTGGTGTTTTTTCCAACCGCATAGAACAAACCCGATGCGCCGATGCTCGTATCTGAACGGCGGTTGTCCGCCAGGCGGGGGGAGGCGGCGCGTCCGCCAATGAGATAGATCGGCAACGAAGAGAGGGGAGGAGAGATGAGATGAGACGAGGCGGGGAGAGGCGGCGCGTCATGACGCGTCAGCGCGGATAGCTGCAACTATCCGCGCTCGAATTACGGAAGCTATGCACCCCAGCCCGCTTGCAGGTCCACGCGATCACCCTACAAGAAGACATCTCGGCGGGCGGGCGGGCGCGGCTTCGCTGGCGGTGGTGCCATCTTGCTTGTCGGCTGCAGCCGACGCCCTGCCCTCGGCTGCACCATGCTGGGCTTCCCTGCTGGCGGCTGCCTGGTCTTCGGCGGCGGCGGCCCCATGGTCTTCGGCGGCGGAGGCGGAACTGGAGGGTTCATATTGCCAGTCCTCCACGGCGCCTGCTGAGGCATCGTCTTGGGCAAGTTCGGCGCCATGGGCTCCCGATGCATCAGCTGAGGCTTGGGGACGTGCGCCTCGCGCACCCGCGGCGCTGCCTTGTTGCCGTGCAGCTTCGCGTACATCTCGCGCTTTGCGCCACCTCGGTTCCCCCAGCGCTTCGCATTGGCGCGCCACGCCTGGCCCTGCCACGTCTGCGGCCCGCCCATGGCGGGGCCAGGCGGGCCGCGGTCGCGGAACTTCTTGTAGTCGTACTTCATCTGGTACTCCTTGAGCACGGCGAGCACGGTCTCCGACCGCCAGTCGATGGGATTCCCAACGGGGTCGCTCAGCCAGGCTCGCAGCTGCGCCCTGAACGCCTCCACCGCGCTGGGATGCGCCTCCACCGCCTCGGGGGGCTCTTCCACCACAGGCGTCGCGCCCCGCATGTGCGACGCGAGCTCCTTCACGAGAGCCGAGGGCGGGAAAGGCCGCTGCCGCGGGTCCCGCGGCGGTGACGTCGGCCCCCGCCTGCGCGGCGGCGTCGACGGTGCCCGCGGGTGGCGCGGGCTGCGCGATCGCGCTGGCTGCGCCGCCAACGTGGGCGCGCTGGCTGGCCGACTGCCGCTGGCGGAGGAAGACCGATCCCCTGCGTTGTTGTCCACGCCCGCAAGGTCGGAGAGCAACTGCATCGCTGGCCCGAACATCTCCTGCGCCGAATCGCCAAAACAGTTCGACCGAGAGCGGCCAGCCAGTTTCGCGCGCGATGCGCGCGTCCCTGGCTACCGCACGCGGGGCCACTTGTTTTGGCGATGCAGCTGCCTCCAACGCGTCGAACGCGCTGCCGCTGTCTGCCATGGCCGCGGCCGCAGTGCGAGGCGCCGAGCGCGACGCGGTGGCTGCGGCGCAGCCTCGGCGCGCGGGCCCCAGCCCACGCGTCGGCGCGAAAGGGGGGGGCCAACCCCGCGCGGGCTCGCGGGCACCCGCGGGCCGCGGGCTTGAACCGAAATGGAATCGGACGCGGAAGCGAGACTTCGGGAGGAGGGGGGGGGGGGTTGCCCATGGACCCATTGAAGTCTTGGAGCTCCTCGAGCCCTCGGGGGCCTCTCAGAAGGGCCCCGCTGGTTCTTGCGACGGGGTCTCGGGGGAGGGGGCAGAGTGAGGGTGGCATTGGGAACCAGAAATATAAGTGAACTGGTGTCCCTTTGAATGTGCAGGTCTTGGTTCACTTGTTTTCGTCGTTGAACGGGCGGTGGCAACGTCGGTGCCTTCGCGCGCGCCCATGCCATTCTGGGTGAACGCCTTCGCCGTTCGAGCAGTGGGCGTCTCCCCGACGTTAGTTGGCGTGGGATCCAGTGCCTGACAGCGGAGAGGGGGGCGCAGGGACGTGGCGCGGGGGCGCGGAGTGGGCCGATTAGGGGAGGGGGGCGGCGGCATGTCCGCCTGAAGGGCGGAGGAGCGCAAAGGGGTGGGGCGGGGGCGGCATGTCCGCCACGAGTTGGAAGGCGAGAAGGCTGCGCTACAAGGCGGCATATCCGCCACGAGGCGGCATATCCGCCACGACCTTTTTGTTATCCCGAGGCCGCCCCGTTGGCCTGGAGAGTTGAAGAGTCGTAGCGCGAATTACTCGCCGCGCGCCCTGGCGGCGAGCTCCTTCTTGACCAGCTCCTCCGCCTCCGCGATGGCCCTGGCCTCGGAGCGATCGGGCGCAACGAGGCAGCAGGGGGCGGAGGGGGCGTCGAGGCAGGGGCGAAAATGAAGAGAGCGCGGAGGAGGGCGTCGAGAAGGGCGTCGGTGAGAATCTGGCCTTGTCGGCCTCATCGCCCGCGATGTACTTCAGGCTGACGTTGCTGCCAGGGACGCCGACCCTGCCGCTGCGGAACTGCACCTGGGGGGCGGAGCAACGATGAACAGTCGCCTGAAAGGCGGCGGGCGCGCAAACTGCGACCCCAGCGGGGCTGCTGGGAATCGCCGCGCGCGCCCGACGCCTCATCGGTGGGAGGTTCAACCCCGCTCGCCAAGTTGCGTGTGGTCTGCATCTCCCACCTCGGCTTCGCCCACTTGCGCTGCTTGTCCTTCCCAGCCGCGCCGTCCGTCTTCTTGCCCGTGGGGAGCGGCGTCTTCTTAGCCACGTTGCC